ATCAGAAAGGAACTCCAGCAACCATGGCATCTGGAGAATCCACCATATCCCTCTCTAAAGGGATGAATCCCTGATCACCCAGGGGAGTACTCTTTTCTTTTCTCTTTTCTTTTTTTTTTTTTTTTTTTTTGTTTTTGCATAGTTGAGTCTTTCTGTTTTTCTGTGTGTTTAGAGTCTTTAGGATAGATTGAGTCAGTTCTGTGTTTTAATTTGTGCATTTTTCAATTTAATTGCATGAATTGTATATATATATATATATATATATATATATATTCCTGCGTTAGTTTCTTCCCCTGATTCTTTGTTTGTAGGCATTGGGGACAATGCATGTTTTAAGTTTGGGGGAGGGATTTGTCTGGAATTGCATGTTTTAAAATTTGAAAGGATCAATTTTTGAAAAAATAAATAAATAAAAAATAAAAAAAAATAAATATGAGGAAAGATAGGAAGCCTATCCAATGAGGCAGTGAACCCGTGAGAGGTGAGGCTTGGCAAATAAAGAGAGGAGAGTCCTCAGCCCTGGTGAGAATGAAAAGAAAAATGTTTAGAATACCAAAAAAGATAGAACAAAAATGTGCTTGGCCTGAATGGGAAAGATCTTGAAAAAAAGCCATATGGACAAGGAGGAAAAGGTATAACGGAGAAAAGATGCAGCCAATGTTGCTGCAATTATGTGAGGAAGTCCTTAGAATCTAAAAATCTCAATGAGAATACTGTAGTTGATGACATGTAGGAAATAGGTACTGATCACAAGGATGTCCATTTGTTCTGAAAAATTAACTAAGCTTAGAATGGATCATAGGTAAAAACTTGAACTTTGGCTATGACATATTCACACACACACTGAAGAACCGTGACGCTGTCTTCCTGTGATAAACAATGGTGTATAATATGTCCAAAGAGGGACCTGGATCTGAGACTAAAATTGATACAATGTTGCATTCGTTCTTGTTCATTTAGCCACATTCTTTTTTGATCACTGCCATTAAACTTATCTATAAATTCCATTCCTTCTCTCTGAGTCTGTCCATCTGTGTGTCTAGGTCAGTAGAAGTGAGTTTGAATATGTTTGCATAAGAATCATTAAACTTTTGAGATTGGGGTTTGTTGCTTGAAAACAAACAACACTTCAAGTTTGGGGGAATCTGATAATACTAAAATATATACCCTTTTAGCAGGTATTTTCTACTCAGTTTTACTTAGAATTAGGTGTCAACTAGATAGAATTAATTTATATTTAGGTTGATTTTGCATTTCAGGGTGATCAGAGGGCCAATGTGGAATATCAGCATAAATTGGGGCCAAATTGCACAAAAAGGCACAAAAAAAGACCAAACTGGAAGCTGCTGGAAATCAAGGGCTAGAGGATCGATCACAGCTGAAGCAAGTAGAGTAATATTGACTGAAGGATGAGGATTGATAGCAGATGATTCCAATTGGAAGAACTCTGCAGCAGCAAACTCAATTGAGGATAAGAATTGGCAGCTGCTCTTAAGCCAAGTTGCTATTGCAGAAGCTGTTGTTACTGTCAATCAGGAGGAGTCCTTAGCTGAAATCTTGTTACCCAAGGAAGGAGTTGCTTAGCCATCACTACAAGTTGTTGCTGTTGCAAGTTGAAGAAGAGAAAGAGGGAGAATATGTGGAAAACAGCAGCTGCAACTCCGCTACTTACCTGTTGTGATTCCTGCTGTTGAACTGATGGATTGGCTACTGCAGAGAGGTGAGAAATGGTGATGCAAGCAATCCCAGGAAACAAGGAAGCAAAAGGGCAAAAGACTGAGGCTGAATTGGGGGCTGAAAGGCAATGATGGAAGGAAGCATGCTGCTGCTTGCTGCTGCTGCTAGTTGTGCTGCTGAGGGTTAGCGAATGTAGAAATGGAGATTTGTGGCTGAAAATATTGAGGATGTGCTGGAGAAGAAGACTAATAAGAGGAAGCAATGATGAGTAGAAGGTGGCTAATTGCGGCTGAGGAAGGATGGAGCTGCTAAAGAGAAGACAGCAACTCGCCAATTGGGCAAGTTGCTGAATAAACAATTCCTTCAAGCTGCTGCAAGTTGCTGCCTCCACCAATCTGCTACAAGAAAGATGGCCAGAACTCAACCAATCCAAGTCTCTCCGATTCTCTATAAATAGTCAGCCAATAGCAGTTAGGAAAACAACAAATTAGGTAGTCAGAATCAGTCCAAAGAAAGTTTAGTTGGTTAAGTTAGTTGGGTAGAAACAGGGTAGTAGCAGAAGCCAAGAGTGCAGACTGTCACTTTGTCAGGTGGCGAAGGCCACTCACCAAGTGAGCAGACAGAATCTGCCCTACTAACACTTCTCCCTTCTATCCTCTAACCTTTTGATGTTAATCATGATTGATCTTTTGTACTTTGTTGCTCTCATGTTTAGCTCAATAAACATGAGTAGCTAAACTCAGTTAAGGGTTCAATCCGTACTGTCTTTATGTGAAGGTTTTGATTCAATTTCGTAGATGAGGCATTGTTTCTAGTTTAGTGGTTAAATTAACCTTTTGATTAAATTGACCACTTAATTAATTGTGCATGCATAGTTATGAAGATCTGAGAGGGGGAGCATAACTTTAGAACTGCTTAAACTAATCTATGACAAAGGAGGAAATTTACCCTTTGGTTTCAATCATCAACGAGAGTTAGGTGCATTGACATAGGTGATCATATAGGGCTTAAGAACTAAATGGCTTGGACCAATGAATTACACTGACTGAGAGGTAGGTAATTTGGTTAATCTAGGACTCTTTATTCTATCTGAGAGGAATTATAAAGAATATATGTGCTTGATCAAACAATAAATCATACCCAACAAGATTACATGAATCAAAACTGGAACATAAAGACATGAAGGTGGTTGACCCTTCTGGTCTTCACTCTGTCAAGTGACTATTCTCATCTCCCATGTGACAAATCTGTTTAGCTTCGTTTCCTTTGTTTTGCACAATAATCAGATTTTAAGCGGTTAACTGCCGTTTATGTAGAACGACCCTGCTTACCACTAGCTAATAGTTTTAAGTAGGTATTTATTTCTTTTGGGAGTGTCAACGACTCATTCACCAGCAGCCAACAACTTCAGGAGTATCCTCAGTGAAATTAGCCTATGACCAGCTTCGATGGCGGAATATGGTCGAGCCTTTGATGAGGAATATATGGCATTGATTCCTTTGCGTGTGTCATTCTTCATGTGGCTAGATCAATATGGAGCCAATTTGCTTCACTTTTAGAAATTAATTTGCAAAGTGTGCACACGTTTGGGCGTCTTTTGCAAGTATGGTGGAACAAGGGTTGTTTTTTAGTGGCAAAGAATGTTGCGGTTGCAACACTTCCCTCTCACATTACTTGGAAAAAATATGGAAGGGCGAAAACAAGGCAGTGTTTGAGGGAGGACATTTTCAATATGTCAAGTTATTGAGCGAATAACTAATAGCATAACTGATATGTTGCGAATAAATCCTCTATCGGTAAAGATAGTTGTGGAATCTTAATTTTTTTCATGGAACTTTGGCATCCAATGTTGTAAAATGTTGAGTGGAAGTTTGTCTCTGTTTGCTAGAATCTGCCAAAACCAAATTCTTTCATTTTAAATTCAAATGGTTCCTTAAAGAATAACGAGGCTAATTATGGGTTTGTCATCTGTTGTGGTGGGGGGAGGGTGGGGAGAATTAGGATATTAAGGAGAGGGGGATATTATGGATGCGAAAATATATGGTCTTCTGTTTGGTTTGAGAAAATGTGAGCAGTTAGGTTTAATGAACGTTTTAGTGCCATCTGAAAAAAGGCAATAGTTGAAATTTTGAACAGGAAAAGGAGCTATCCATGATGGTATATCTCTCCTTTGGCAGAGATTAGTGTCGTCTTGCAGCGAAAGACTTTTTCAATAGCACATGTTTATCGTGAAGCAAATTCTGTGATGGATAATTTGGCCAGGATAGCATCTGAGGGCAGCTCATCGATCTTTCAAGTCCAGTCCGCAATCCCTTTTGTAACAGAAGGTCTTTTGATATTAGATCAAATATGTTTCCCATATTTTTGTAGTCGTCTTGTTTAGACAATCTATGTATTTCACTCCTTATGGGTAAGTTTTATGCATTACCCTTGTACCTTTTCTCTATGAACTAATAATAACTGGGGACATGTCTGCCATGTACCACCCTGCTTAATCCAAAAGAAAAAAAAAAGAGAAAATATTTGGAAATTTTTCATAGTATATTTGGTATTCGTAAAAAAATATTTGGTAGTCATTATAAAAATTTAATAAATAAAAATTTATGGAGTTTGATTTCTTTTTTTTAAAAAAAAAAGTTGATTATCATTTCTGAAAATCAACTCGATTTTTAAAAACAATTTAAAAATCTTATTAAAAGAGAGTCTTTAGTTCAAAATAATGAGTAAAATATTTTTTATTTTAAAATGTGCACAATTTTGGATTTCATCGATGGAATAACATAACGATAAATAATCGTCTGAATAGATAACTCATGTAGTATATTAAATGAGAGGAATAGTGTCATTTTGAGTGAATTGGAATCTTTTAAGATACCAAAAATACCCCTGGTTCTCTCTACCCTGAACCATAGAAGCGGCAACAGCCTTTGCTTCTCGGCCTCTATGGCCGGCAGCCTACCACCGGCGGCTCCTACTGAGCTGCAAGAACATTCGCTAGTTTCTTCCAAAAGCCGCCTGATGTAGTGGTAAACAAGGATTCTCTTATTAAGCAAGTTAAGTTTATCAACGGGACTCCAACTTTGGAGTATGAAGATGAGGAGTTTGAGAAGTTGATTGCACCACACCAGCTATGTCTGGTTGGAAAGTTCTCATATGGCCAGCCAAAGATGAATGAAATCCATAACGAGTTCAAGAAAATAGGTTTTAGTGGAGCCTACACCTTGGATCTTATGAACCCTAGGCATGTTTTAATCTATTTTGCGTAGGAGGAGGATTATCAGAGATGTTGGATAAGGATCTTCTGGAATATCGGCGGTTTCTCAATGAGGATTTTAAAGTGGACACCAAGTTTGCGGTTCGAGAAGGATCCTTCGGTGGTGCCAATATGGGTTTCCCTCTTTGATTTGCCGATTGAATATATGCACCCAGAAGTAATTTTTTCAACGGCTACGGCTTTGGGTCAACCATTGAAAGTGGATACTCCGACTTTGAATATGACGCGACCTCTAGTGGCTCGATTTTGTGTAGAGGTTGATCTCACTAAGGAACTTCCAAAATCGGTCAAGATCAGGGAGAAGGGCTGTAAACATGAGCAGATTTTCACGTTCGAACACATTCCCTATTGCTGCCAAAAATGTTGTAAGATAGGCCACAAGGAAGTTGATTGTTGTGTGGGGAAGGCTCCGAAAAAACGAGAGGATGGAAAAAATGTTGAACATGGCCGGAAGAGTGACGGGGAGAATGATGATTCTAGGCCTAAAAAGAAGGGAATAAAGATCCCGCCACCAAAGCCGAAATGGTTATCTAGAGGTGGTGAAGATGGAGCAAAACAGCAGGATCTGGAAGTGCAAATTTTGCAAATGAATCCTTTGGTTGTGAAGGCAATAGAATCGGTGTCGCAACCTGCTGCGAAAGCCCTGGATCCGCGGCCTAGTGATTTGATGCCAGCGGAAACCCTAGTGCAGCGAGCTCTTGAATCGACTTCTGGTCTTTTGACGCAAGAAAAATCTCTCATTCCGATCGATCTCCATGAAGAATTTGATCCATGTGTGAGAAGAAAGGTGACTGAAAACCCCCAGCAAGAGTTTGTTGGATCGAAGAAGGTTGCTGAGATAGCATAGCCTTCAAATTGATTTGCTACACTCCAGAATATAGATGATGATGATGCTCCTTTGCTAGATGATTCTGAGGAGGTGGAAGTTGTCTTCTCTGAGGAGAACGTAGAGCTGCATCAGAAACAAGCAGATGATGTAGAAGTCATGCTGCCTGTAATGGAATTACAGCGGATGTCCCTTATTCCGCAGTCAGTTATTGAGAAATCGTGTGACGATTCTTTCACTGAAAAGACTCCAGAAGAGGATGATGAAGATGAAGCAGCGGAGGAGTTCTGCTGGTCAGAAGGAGAAAGGGACGTTGCTCATGTGGAAAGAGCTCACAATGGTGATATAATTATAGTGAAAAGAAAGAAAGGGCAGAAATCTAAGGAGGAAAGGGCCAAGTTGAATGAGGGTACAGAGCTTCGTCGCTCTGCCAGCTTGCAAGAATGACTTTTTTATATCTTTAATAAATTTACGATGATCAGTTACATCATATGGAATATACATGGTATTAAAAATGAAGCGTCGATGCGGTGTTTCATGTCTTTAATCAAAACCTACAAGGTTACATTCCTTGTTCTTTTGGAGCCTATGCTACCAGGCAATAAGTTGGAGGAAATAAAGTGGCAGCTTCAATTTCATTATGCTTTCTCTTCAATATCCAACACGATTTGGGTTCTAAGTAAGAAAGAAGCTAGTGTGACAATGCTTGGAGGTTTGGAACAAACTCTATACTTGGAGGTTGTGCATCAATCCATGGTCTCTCCTTTCTATGTTTCAGCTATATATGCAAATCAACTAGGGTTGCTTGGAGACATCTATGGGACGATTTGAAGGAGTTTAGGCAGAAAAACTTGAATTTTCCATGGATGGTAGGAGGTGATTTTAATATCATTTGGTCGCTTGAAGAATACTCGGGGGTTTCTGTCCAAGATCATGCAGCCATGGATGATTTTAATGAGTTTATTGAAGATGTTTCACTTACTAAATTGCTCACTGTAGGAGAAAATTTCACTTGGGGTGGAACAAGAAGTATGGGATGGGTTAGCAAAAAATTGGACCGTATTCTTTTCTCTCAGGAATGGCTAAATATTTTTCCAGTTGCTTCGGTGGAAAATCTTAATCGCACCACATCAGACCATTGTCCTATGTTGCTTCAATTTAATTCTTCCTTGGATCATCAGCCAAGAAGTTTTCGTTTCCAAAATATGTGGTTGAGAAGGGAGGATTTTATGGCTCTGGTAAAGGATGATTGGAACGCACCTAATGGCAGCTTTGGAATGATAGGGTTTTTGTTGAAGCTGCGTCATTTGAAAGTGAAGCTCAAGGAATGGAACAAAGCGGTTTTTGGAAATGTGTTTGATAATTTGGAGGTTGTGGAAAAAGAGTTCAGGAGCTAGAAATAAAGTATAATGCAACAAAATCTGAGGGGGATAGAATTCAGCTTAGTCTAGCTCGAGCAAATTTGTTGTTGAAGATCAAGGAAAATGAGGATTTCTGGAAGCAAAAAATGATGTTGAAACGGTTAGAAGGGGATAGTAACTCTTCTTTTTTCCATGCTTCTCTCACTGTGAAAAGAGCTAAAATGAGCATACATAAAATTCAAAATGATGAAGGGGAATGGTTAACTGACAGACCGGCCATTGAAGCGCAAGCAGTGAAATTTTTTGAATACCTTTTGAAAGAGGAAAATACACTGCCTCGGCTTGATGTCCAAGAGAAGTTCTTGCAGTATATTCCATCAATTCTTGCACATGATGATCAAGAGTTGCTTCTGAGGGAAATAACCATGGCGGAGGTGAAACAAGCAGTGGATAATCTTGATGCGAATAGTGCTCCAGGATCGGATGGTTTTGGGGGCTCCTTTTATAAAGGTTGCTGGGATATTATAGCTCCAGACCTTCTCAATGCTTGTAAGGAGTTTATGCTAGGGATTCTTATCCCAAGAGCAATTGGAAGCATGCTAGTTACTCTAATACCTAAGAAGTCCTCAATCACAACTTTCTCAGATTTTAGACTGATAAGTTTGTGTAACTTTGTAAACAAGGATTTTACAAAAGTTCTTACGGAAAGGTTGAAGATGGTACTGCCTAGACTTAATTGGGAAGAGAAATCAACTTTTTTGGCGGGACGAGACAGTAATGATAACATCATGCTCACCCAAGACTTGTGTCAGTTCCTTAAACATAAAACTGTTGGCGATAATGTGATTCTGAAGGTTGACATGATGAAGGCTTTTGATCGAGTTTCTTGGAGTTTTTTTAGTGTGGTTTTATTGAGGTTTGGCTTTCCTCCACATTTCATTTCTTTGATTTTGAATAACCTCCAAAATAGTTGGTTTTTTATTTTGGTGAATGGTAACCTAGCAGGTTTCTTGAAGGCAAGTAGAGGCATCAACCAAGGTGATCCCCTCTCCCACTTTTTGTTTGTACTTGTCTCAGAATCTATGTCGCGAAGGTTAAATCATTTGATGGAAAATAGAAGGAAATCATTTGATGGCAAATAGAAGAATTGCTCGATTTGGTACTCCAGCAAGTTCCAATTATGTTTCGCATCTTTGTTTTGCGGATGTCCTTATTGTTTTACCCGTGGGCTGCAAGCATCTTTGGAGGAATTGAACACATTTTTGAGGATTATGTAGTAGCCTCTGGACAGAAAGTTAATCGGGAAAAAAGTAGCTTCTATGTGGATGAAGGATGTCGATCTTCACGAGTAGAAACTATCAAAAGGTGTTTGGGTATGCAGAAAGGTGCATTCCCTTTTGTATGTCTTGGTTGTAGATTATACACGGGGAGGAAAAGACAGCAACTTTTCAATTTCTACTTGATGCATTGGAATCAAAATTGTCGAATTGGAAGAATAAGTTCCTTAGCCAAGGTGGTAGCCTTGTGCTAATGAAACATGTTTTGTCGGCCATTCCATTACATGTTTTTTCAGCTCTAGAGCCTCCAAAATCAATCATGAATGCAATTGCTCAGCGATGCCAACTTTTCCTTTGGGAAGGGGTTGAAGGTGATGGAAAGAAACATTGGAGATTGTGGAATCGGCTTACTTTTCCGGTGGTGGAGAATGGAGTGGGATTGCAAGACTTCCATGAAGTCCTAAAGACTTTCTCCCTCAAAATATGGTGGAAAATTAAAAACAAGCAAGGCATTTGGGCGAACTTTATACTCTGCTTGTCGTAGGCTGCGAAGAGGAGGACTTCTTGGAACCAGTTTGTTAGAATTGATCACTTTGCAGCTGGTCATTCGAAGGTTTTGGTGTGCAGTGGTGATAAAAATTTTTGGTATGAGCATTGTTCGAACTTGGGGCATATATGGGACATCCAAGACGCGACTCCTCCATTGCCATCAACTACAATCTGAGAGTTTTTCACAAGGAAACAATTTTATTTGATGGAGTTTCGGAACATTTTAAATGCCAATGTATTACGGACCTTGGAGGTAATGGATTTGAATTTCCTTGAAGGGAAAGAAAGATTGGTTTAGAAACCAAATCCTTTGGAAACTTTCACAATAAAGTCTGCGTATGAAGTTTTACGGAGAAAGCAAATTGCTAACCCTAGCTTGATGAATATTTGGCATAAAGTCATTCCTTTGCACATCTCTTTCTTTATGTGGAAGTTTGGTAACTCTTTTCTTCCCTTTCCGGAGACTTTATGTAAAATGGGAATCTATCTACAGCCATAAATTTGTTGGAAGTGTAAATCTTCCTCTGATTCTAGGCGGCACCAATTCTTTGATTGTATTTTTGCGCGTGAGGTTCCACAGTATTTTCAAATCTTTTTGGACAGGTTGCACAAGGAGAAGGGCTGGGAGGATATATACATTCTTGGTGGTCATCAGGGAATTTTAAAATAGCCCTTGGAATTATCAAGAAGGTCTTACCATCTTTCATTGTGTTGGAGCTGTGGAAGGCACGTAACAAGTTTTTGTTTGAACAAGTTGATGGAAATGTCCAAAGTGTCATCAAGGCGGGAAGGAAGCATCTCCATGACATGATGTTAGTCAATATGCTGAAGACGCGAAATATAATGGACAGGGATTTCCTTCAACAAAATTTCCCGAAGACAACTTTTGGTATTAAGCGCAAGAGGGTGCTTGCGGTTTCTTGGGAACAACAATGTAAGTATGTGCTAAATACTGATGGATCTTCAAAGCTCTTGTCTTCGGGTTATGGATTTGTAAGTTGTGGAAAATGGTTCTTTTATTTATGGAGAGGTTGGCTTCTCAGGTAGCGGAGATAGTCTCTAAGCAAAGGTATATGACCTTTTGTTTGGAATTAGGAAATGTAAGCACCTTGATTTGTTTCAATTGGAATCCAAACGGATAACTAATTTTTGGCTAATGTCTTAAAAAAGTGGGGATCTCTATCCTTGGAGGTTTTACTATGAGCTGGAGGAAATTCATGCAATTATGGAGAGAAGGGGTTACAATATACATCGTATTTTTAGAGAAGCGAATGCAGTAGCAGATAGTTTTGCCAGAAAGGCTTCAGCTAAACTTCTGAACAATATGAGGATCTTGGGACTCTTCCGAGTTTCACCAAGGGGCTCATTTTCCTAGACCAACAGTCTATGCCATATTTGCGAGTGTGGTGATAGTTTTTGCTTTAATAGATAGTATGCTCATCCTTTTGTATCTTGGCAAGATCTATACTCTGCCAAATTCCATATTACAGTAATAAAAGTACAAGAAAAGAGACCCTAGGGAACTAGATGAAATTGATGTCCATCCCTTGGGTATACCCCTTCGGTGCATCCTATCATCTAGCACTGGCTAGTTCAAAGAATAGCTCTTGGGTAGACCCCTTGAGTATTTTTTGGGCTAGTTGGAACCTGAATGTCGCTTATCTCTTTTTTCTTCCAGCTTAAAAAAAGAGAGAGATAGTGTCTTACTCTTTTTAATATAGATGATTATTTACATGGTTTAATATCTTTTTGAAATTAATAAACAAATTGATCACAAGTTAATTTTGACAAAGTCATGTAAAGTCATGTGAGAATGACAATGGCTACAACAACAAAGGATACGTTGGGGAAGAAAGGTAGCACTTATTGGTTCATAGGATAAAAATAAAACATTAAAGTGTACTTAAAAACAATGATCATATGTTTGTTTGTTTTTCTTTTGTTGATGATGATTTTCTTTCAAAGACCAAAAATGTAAGCCAAATTGGTTGGAATTTAGTTAAACATAAAAGTAAAAATTTGCCTGACTTATATGATTTTGGATAATGTTGAAACCATACTTGTGGCGTGTCAACTAGACCTTATTTTTGGAGTGTGGTAATAAGGCAGTTGCTAAATAAACCTCCTAAATAGATGGAAAAAAAAAAACAGAACAAAGCAGCAAAAAGATTACGAAAATTTAGGTTCTATGTGATCCAATCATGCCAAGTACTAGGACATTAAGAGGAAAAAGACAAACTCAACCACCAGCACTTAAAAA